GTTGATTGAAAAATAATTTACATTAAAAAGATTGAGCAGTTGATACTGCCATATATATAAGATGTGTTTACCATTGATCTGAATAAATGATTTATTCAAAACTATCAAAAATATCATTTCATTCCTCACATTAACTATTAGAATTTATAACTGAAGTGTCAGCAGTATCGAGAGATTTTTACCTTTTTAAAGATTGATAAATAATATCATACCTTGTACTTTAATCCACCTGCTTGGTGTGGTGCATGTCTCAGGAAATCTGACAAAGCCTCATCTATTTCAGATTCTTTCCTATTACTATGTACTACAATACAGAACTCTGTAATGAAGACTGTTGGAAGAGTTAAAAAGGCACATAATTCAGAGGAAAGAGTTGTTGTAATGGTAGGTATATTGATTGCAAAAAGGTAGTATACCAAAGGAAACAATATCAATAAATACAGAACAAACACGTTGCTTTCCCATGTCAAACTATGAGTTACATTAGGAATCAAAATGGAATTGACAAAAAAGTATTATCACGTTAATGTTAAAGCAAACATTTAAGCAATATATATGGCAGTAATACGTTCAGAAAAAATTCTGAAGTGAAAGAATGTAATCGTTCAACACGAGAATGATCACTACATGCCACATAATTAGAATACTATCTTAAAAATTGATGTGTGCCCTTACAGTAAATTTATTGAATTTCTATTGTAGGTATATAAACACAAAACTGCCACATCAGGGCCAGCCGCCCTTGCTTTTACAAATGAACTCTTTAAAATGTTCGAATTCTTCTTGCAATATTTGAAGGAAATGCCAGGGGTCGAGTTGAATGACAATACTTCCGTATTTCTTGCACATCCCATGAAAAGCAGCCTAATTAACAAATCTCTGCAACGTTTGAGGAAAGAATACAGCGATAAACCCATCAACGCAACTAGACTGCGCAAATCAATCTCCACCAAAGTCAGGGCTGCCGCCCTTTGGTCCCGGGAATCATTGGATAGGCACATGACTCACAGACCTGCAACAGCAGATCAGTACTATAAAATTTACAACATACGAGAATCCGCCATTCCAATTACAAAGCTGGTTTTCCCTCATATGGAGAACAAATCTTCCACAACAACCGAAAGCTCGCAACAATCACAGTTTGATGTGAATGTTATTTCAGTTACACAAACAGAGGAACAAACCAAATCGCCTACCACAACCGAAAGCTCGGAACAATCACAGATTGATGTAAATGTTATTCCAATTAGAGGACACACATTACCAGTGGCAGTTACACAAACAGAGGAACAAACCAAATTGCCTGCCACAACAGAAAGATCGGAACAATCACAGTTTGATGTAAATGTTATTCCAATTAGAGGACATACATTACCAGTGGCAGTTACACAAACAGAGGAACAAACCAAATTGCCTACCACAACAGAAAGATCGGAACAATCAAAGTTTGATGTAAATGTTATTCCAATTAGAGGACATACATTACCAGTGGCAGTTACACAAACAGAAGAACAAACCGAATCGTCTTCCACAACCAAAAGTGGAAAAAATGCTAGGAGAACCTTTACGACAAAACAAGCAGAAACCATAATTTCCCTGTGTAAAAAATTTGTCAATGACACATCACTGTCAACAGCTGAAGTAACGCACACCTACAAAGTACTCCACAAGGAATGGTCTTCTTACTAGAACTAAAGGATCAACTTGGACCCATGTATCGAAAAAACAAAATTGTGGATAGACTTCGTTACCACATTCCAACTAAAAATTGAAAAACAAACAATATCCAAGTAGCTTCTCCGTCTACGTGAACGGTTTGCGTTTTAATTTTGTTTCGGATGTGGTAACGTAGTCTACTACAAATTTTTATGACAAGTAATGTCTGAAAACATAATGTCCAAGTAACTTCTCCGTCTACCTTGTTATATCTTAATAAAATTAGTAGAAAGCAATAGTTTTTTTTTAGATATCCATTAAATTAATTTGAATTTATGTACTCGAAAGAAAAAACAGCACATTTTGAAATAAGATTTGATATGAACAAGAACGGATATGGAGTTAATGTCAAGGAGACAATCTCCCATCTCCAAAGTTTCCGCTCGATAAAACATACATCTAGAGGTTGCCACACGATCTTCAACAGGCGGGAAACCCCACATCATGCAGCAAGCTCTAAATTGCCTCAATAAAAACAAAGTGGATACATCAGTGGACACAATACGTAAAAGCAGAAGATTGATTGATTGTTGGTTGCTTAACGTCCAGTGGCAAATATTTCATGCATATTCAGAACAAGTTCACAATAAATACAATAGGTAGGATCTGTAATAGATTAAGGGATTAAGGTCGGAGAAATTTAGACTGCCACTGGAAATGAGGGTTTATTGGATAGGGACAGAAATTTAGACTGCCACTGGAAATGAGGGTTTATTGGATAGGGACAGAAATTTAGCCTTGCAACAGGTCACCTACGGACTCCTCAAAGAGTTGTTGCAAGGGTTCTTAACGAGCAAAGAGCGTGGCACTCTCTTTACACGAAGCATCGGATTTAACGTCCCCATTCTGACCGGACGTGGCTGCAAATTTGTACATCCCGCACAGCCAAACGGACGCCTCACTTTAGCAAGGGTTTTACTGCCGGTCGGAGGAAGACCAATGGTGACTATACTTCTATTCCCCAGTCACCCTTGGGGGGCATCGACGTAACAGAACAGAGGCATAAATCAAAAAGTCACAATGTAAAAAGAACGGCAAAACCAAATGCAAAAAAAGAAGAGACAAATACAAACATGGAAACAGACAGGAAAACAACACTTAAAACTAAAGCCTGGACAATACGAACTCTCATAAAAACCGATAGTGACATCAGGTGCTCCGAAAGGGTAAGCATGTCCTGCTCCGCATGCGACACCCGCCGTATTATCCAGTGGTTCAAAACCGGTGATAGGTCGAAGTAAATGAAAAGAACATTGGTAGACGTCACTACTCTAACCCTTAGACATTACCAAACAAAAAGCCATTGGTTCATGTAAATTCTCTAACCCTAAGATATGACCGAATTTACAAGTTTGAAGTTGTTGTAAAAGTAGAAAATACTGATTGGAATAAACAAAGACACTAGACAGTAGTGGTATATCCACGACAAAAGACGTAATATATGAACAAGTACAAACATCAAAACAAGAAAACAACACTAAAAACTAAAGCATGGACCAATACGAACTCCCTTTAAAAACTGGAAGTGACACCAGGTGCTCCGTAAGGGTAAGCATGTCCTGCCTCGCATGCGGCACCCGTCGTATTGCCCATAAATTGGTCAAAGTCGACCATACTATTTACCAAATCAAAGAATAACTCCTAAAACCATCAAAGTCAAACCTAATACTTGATTGTGACAAAACTTTATGTTCAATATTACGAATGCTGAATGGTTTCAGGATGTCTGCTTGACAGGTAAAGTTAATAAAGGGTGTATCCATAATAAATCTTCAAAGGAAACTAAAACTATTGCAAAACAATAAAGAAAGTAGGGAAATCTCGCGAATTGGTCAGAATGTATTGCGAAAAAAGGATGATCTCATTAATTTGAGATTGTCCAACCAATACGCGAGATTTTCCTACTTTCTTTATTCTTTTGCAATAGTTTGACGCGATAAAAATCGACTTGTGTGTGATCATTTTCGGGACTTTCAACGTCAAGTTTCAAGAACTTCTGAAAGAGTGACAGTTTAGACCTTTTACCAGAATATGCCCTAGATAAAGGTGTATTACAGACACGAAAGATTTCCACAGAATGCTCCATCTTTTGCAGGAAAACTGCTGTAGAAGTCAGTCACCAATGACAATGAGGTAGCCTCACGGATGTCTCAAAATATTGCAAATAGGCTGAATCGAAAAAATAACATCAATCTGCGGTGGGTATTTATTTTTTCGGGGGGACCTCCGCTATTTGCCGACAAACCGAGACTTTCCGACATAGGTTGGACGACCTCGCGCCGCTGGCCCTAACCCTCACCCTCCCCTTAACCCTAACCCTGTTGATAGGAGCAACATTGTCAAATCAATTTTGGCATTGGTTAAAAATAGTGAGAAATATTGAATAAAAGAATAGAATTAATTAAACAATTTTCAAATGTCTGAGAATATGATAGTAAAATTTGTTCAAATGAGTTTTCAAAAAACACTTCCTACATCTTCAGATTTTATTTAATAAAGATGTTTATAGAGAGATGAAAAATACAAAAGGGATATTCAAACTCATAAGTTGAGAAAAAAAACCCTGACAATCCCATGGGCAAATACAACGAAACGACAAACAATAGAACAAATAAAAAACAATATAGAAAAATATAAAGAAAACGAACCCTATGATAAACCGAGTTGATCTCATGTGCTAATGTTACGTTTAACCTCATAGAAATGAAAATGATATTTCAAAAGGCCCTTTAAATATATTAATACTACAAGAGAAGCATATCAGTCATTTAAAAAAATGTACATATTTCGGTTATTGTCTATTGTCTGTTTGATTTGTAGGTTTTACATATTTTTTCATTTTAACATTAGAGTGTATGTATTGTGCAAGATAGTACACGCAAATTTTAGTGTTCAGAAAGTTCCATTATCTATTTGTATTCGTTGAAGTATGAAAATTTACCAATTTCCATGCGTTCATATTTGATATCTAACATTTTCATTACCAATTACCGTAAAGAAAGTTACCAAATACCGCTACAAAGTTACCATTTACCGTTCATGTTTGTGCGGTGTTTGGTTTCAAAGTTACCAAATACCGTATAGAAAGTTAACAAAAACTATCAAAATTGTGCGAAATTCTGAGTATTCGGTGTCCAATTTTAGGTATTTACACCATATTTGATAATCGAAGGTTAAAATTAAAGTAACATGTTTGCACTTTCAGGAAAGTGATTCATCGTCGGATCCTGATTTTATTGCTAGCACCCCACAATCCACTAGGTCAAAGACAACACAGAAATTGAATGTGTGCTTATTCTCAGAGGAAGAAAATACCTCAAAAGACAGTTACTACAGATGATGATGATGCACCTACACAACCAGGAAGTTCTAGAAAAAAGAAAAGAGAAGAAAATCCAACTCAGAAAAAGAAAAATCTAGTTCGTGGCTTAGCTGTTGCCAAAAAATCTCACCCAAAAAAACAACCGGATCGGAAGATTCTTAAAAAGGCATCAAGGGTTCAGTCGAAACAAGAGACTAGTAGTGAGTCGGAGTGGAACCCGTTCGACGATACGGAGGATAAGATGAGTGACTGTGATAAATTAGCACCGACACAAGATGCAAGTTCAAAAAAGAAAGGAAAAGATAATCATTCACAATCAACTCAGAAAAAGAAAAAAATACTTCAAGAGACAGACACTACAAATGATGATGATGCACCCACCAAACCGGCAAGTAAAAAGAGAAGGGAAGAAAATCCAACTCAAAAAAAGAGAAAAAGACCTCAAGAGACAGACACTACAGATGATGATGATGCACCTACCCAACCAGCAAGTAAAAGGAGAAGAGAAGAAAATCCAACTCAGAAAAAGAAAAAAACACCACGGGGCTTAGCTCTTGTCAAAACAACAACAAACCACACCCAGAAAAAAAGAGACCAAACGATTGCGGGAGCCTCAAGAATGTCCGCTTTGTCACAAAAGTGTAATAAACATATGGAGACATTTAAGATATCCACGCAATTTCATGTCTGCCAAACAGACTTAATGCGCAGCAAAAAGGGCTATCTAGTGAAAAAATGCCCATACAAAGACTGTTGCTGTAGTAGACAGACTTACTGATCATTTGGTAAGAAAACACAAAGTCCCTAGAAATTCGTTTCAAAGTAAAAGACTGAAGATGAGAGCCGTAGCTATTCCTTCAACATTGGAGGTTCCTGGGAGAAAGAGACAACACATTAAAAAGAAAATCAAAGAAGAGGACAAAATTCATAATACAATAATAAGCTCGGAGGACGAGCCCGTCCCAGTTAAGAAAGAACCAATAGATTCAGAAGCTATATACAATAAGATCACAGTGAACACAAAGTTAGAAAAGGAGGGAATTGTTGTAATTAGTTCAGATGAAAACTCCAACAAACTAGATTTGGACACTCAGGAATCTGAGAATAGTTCAGAGGAGATTAGTTCAGAACAGAATAGTTCAGACGAAAGCTCAATGGAAATCACTGAGGATAGTAATGAAGAATCATCGGATGAAATAAAGAAAAAAGCTGAGGAAAGTTCAGATCACGATGAAAAAGAAGAGTATTATTTTGAGCATAAAGAGATCAAACATTGCAACATGCGTACCAGGTGTGGCATGTCTGGGGTGACCTATCAAAGAAAAGAAAGATGAAGGAACTTTTCTGTCTGGACAAACTTAATGATTGGCTACATGAATTCTTAAAAGACCATGCACCGGGAACTGCACGTTCCTATTAGAGTTCGGTTGGAATGTTTGTCGGGCATTTGGTCAGGCAAGGGATTCTAAAGAAGGGAGTAGGGAAAGCGTTACGATTCAAGGAAGACATCAAGCTACTCAGTAAGCAGATTCGCAATAAAGTCCAAACCAGGACTAGGCTGGATGTGGAAGAAATAGGTAAGTTTAATGTTAATGCCTACACAAAACTACAAACAGTATTCAAAACGATATATCCACATAATACACACAGTTCACACACACCCACACACATGCATGCATGCACATACTCGTACAAACATGTATGTGTTTGTGTATGTGTAGTTTTGTATGTGATTGTGTATGTATATGTGTGAATATATGTGTGTTAAATGTGTGCATATGCATGTGTGTATGTGTAAGTATGTCTATGTATGTGTGTGTCTGTGTGTCTTAACATTAAGATTTCCACCCGTCGGTTATTTCGCTGGTACGAGTAGCCAGGGGAAGTATTCATCGGTGATTAACCGGTTTTTCTACCTATTACAGAATATATGAACAAGGAAAATATTAGATATAAGTGGAGGCCGTTGGGGGACCGCACCAATGGCCAATTGTACGCATACACATAAGCGCAAGGAGAAATTGATGAACGATCTGGCTAAGAAAGCCAAGAAGGTGCATCTATCTGCCGACTCCCAGGCATCTTGGACGTCAGGGGCCAAAACCAAACAGATTCACAAACGGAATCCTACTTGTTCTCTTGAGGGCGTCGCACGCAAGCGATGTCTGGCAGTACGGAGAGAAAAAAATAGGCAGGTTTAGGGAATGAAAGTCCAGTCTACAACCTCTAAGCCTGGAGGGGACGTTGCAAAGGGCCCGATGCGTGTGGGGGTATATCATTTTTTGGGCCTTTTTTTGGACTTTAGAGAGGGTGCTTGTGGACTCTTTTTAACAACTTTGGTTTTTACGGACATATGTGTACGTAGGTTTAATTACCATCCAACGCTATCATATTGTAGCCAACTTAGAACTAGTACGGGCCAGAGTACTCGGACTGTCTAATTAAAACAAAGCAGTACGATGGCCGTCGCCTTTTGTTGGCGCATTGTGATTTCAAAGTGAAAAAAAAATCAATAAAGCGCGGGTAAACGGCGAGAGAAACTATAACTCACTTAAGGAGAGTACATTGTACATGTATTTATATCTTGACCCACAATGTGTAGATCAAGTACATGCCTTGCTAATTTACCCTTTTATTGTTTAAAGAGGAGGACGTAGTGAAGGTGAATCCGTATATATGTAATGGATTAATTATAAAGCTGCAGTAAACTAGATTGACGTCCAGTGGAACATATTTCTTGCATGTTGAGGATGAGAAAAAATACCAATAATAGAATAGACCATCGACGATGAAAATCGGTTAGACTTGAGACTCTCACTGGAAAACAAAGGAATGTTGGATAGAAGGACACATTTGGCCTAACAACATACAAACTACGGACCATCCACTCGAGTTATACCAAAGATCAGACCATGCAATGAGCATGGCACTTGGACTGCACGAGGAATCGGATTAACCGTCTCCATTCTGACCAGACGTTGGTGCGTACTTGTACATCATGCACACCAAATTAGTCTTACTAGGACAAATGTAATCATTTTAAAAAAATCGTCAGTCATTTCGTCTACATTCACAAGTAAAATACCGAACTCCTAGGAACATAAAAAAAAAACATTCCGTCATCAAATGGGAAACGAATCAACAACTATCATATTCCTGTCTTGGTACATGCATTTTCTTATGAAGAAAATTGGTTGATTGTTGGTTGCTTAACGTCCAGTGGCAAATATTTCATGCATATTCAGGACGAGAACAAATTAACAATAAATACAATAGGTATGTCCTGTAATGTAGGCCGTCCGAGGAGAAGGTCGGGGAAATTTAGACTGCCACTGAAAATGAGGATAAATTGGATAGGGACAGACATTTTGCCTTGCAACAGGTCACCTACGGACCCCTCAAAGAGTTGTTGCAAGGGTTCTTAACGTGCAGAGAGCGTCGCACGTTCTCTACACGAGGCATCGGATTTAATGTCCCCATTCTGACCGGACGTGGCTCCGTACTTGTACATCCCGCACAACCAAACGGACGCCCCACTTTAGCAAGGGTTCTACTGCCGGTCGGAAGAAGACCTGTAGTGACCATATTTCTTTTCCCCAGTCACCCTTGGGGATTGTAGAAAATTTTGTGAATCAACCTGGTTTTATAGCCAGCTAAACCTCTCGCTTGTATGCAAGTTGCTTATAATTCTATTGAACAAAACAAACGGACATAATAGGTCAAAATGTCAAATATGTACACACAAAAAAAAACCACACACAATAAGGCGTATACACAAAGCACATAAGCATAATATGAAAGACACGAAAAACATTTACCATGACAGCACAATATCGGGATGTATAAGTACAGAGCCACGCCAAATGAATATCACCAAAAATAGACATAAATAATTTTCATGAAGACAAATAAAAGAATACTATAACACGTTATTAAGATGATAAACAACGCCAGTACCCCGATTCCCACGTACATGAAACGTAACGTTATTCACAATTGGCAGTTTATTTCACAATTAATTTTGAGGATGAAGATAAAGCTATTTTTGACAATGACAATTCAGAAATGTTTAAGATGAAAATCCAGCAGATTTGGACACCAGAAGAACGGTAGTAGGAACACAATGTTAAATTCGGATTGATAGTCCATAGAGACAGGCTCAGATATCTAGGAACATTTTCTGGATGACAAGATGATTAGATGACATCACGCCAGTTTAGGAGCGAGTTGACGTATCTTACAGGCATGCACTTTTTACTTGTTATGACGAACCTAGTTAATTAAAACTAAAAGTCGAACGCACCTCCAACATGCTATTGATATAATGGTTGAACAACCTAGAACACTCCACCATCTAGACCCTTTATTGTTTTGAAGGCGTATGTTGCACCCAAAGTCTCATTTTGACAGTGCGTGGATTTATAATCATAATCTTGCACTACATTATGTCGTCGTCTAAGTGGATATTCGTGACTGGCGATGAGAATAATAACCACTGGATTGTATTGGCTGGACATTTTCCCACTCAGGAAGTCTACAGTTTGGATACATAATGTATACCCATAACCTTACCTAGAGGTCAACCAATTGATAAGGTGGCAGATATTCAGTATCACTTATTAAAGCCATTTATAACAAGAGAAAATAATTTCGTTTCTAACGGAGACCAATGCATGTTTAAGAGAGCCGAAAGATACAAGGGACATTCAAACTCGTAAGTCGAAAATAACCCGACAACGTCATGGCTAACAAAGAAAAAGACTAACAGACAAAATATAGTACAAAACACCAAATAGAAAACTCAAGACTAAGCAACACGAACACCGCGAAAAATGGGGATGATGCAAGAATTGTGCATACGTTTGATTTTTGTGGAGTAGCATCTGAAATTACAAAGCACTTTGATGTCTACTTATGATTTGTAGTGATTGGTAATTGATATTACCGTCCCATTCATACAATAGAGGATTTATGCTACACTCACAAGTCAGTAATTCGGTAGGCATGCTTTATAACAAACGTTCCTCAAGTTGTCCATTTATAAACTGATAAATTGCTAAGTCTTTAGTTTTCTATGTTTTGTCATCTGTACTTTTTTTTGGCGTTGTCAGTTTATTTTCGATCTATGAGTTTGACTGTCCCTCTGGTATCTTTCGTCCCTCTTTTATTGAGAAAGTAAGGTTTCTAAAACTTCAGACAAAGTAGACCTTGTACGTCGTTCTATTACTTGTAGGTAATACAACTTCTACCACATTTATGGCTATTCTGTTACGCCTTTCCTCAATATATATAGTTCGTTTGATTATATTCTTAATCTGTTTATGTGTTCCAGTTTAGGAGGATTATTCATCGTAAACCTTATAAGAGCTTGTAAGAACTTTAAACATCGTATCATCGTTACCTTTCCCTTTCTTACACGTATCTCGAACTGAATATTGCAAGATCATTCCAGAACTGGAGAAGTACAAAAGTCATCTAGGACACAATTCGTGGCTAACCACAGAGTGAGTTACATTTATAACTTTGTATTTGATGCCTTCAAATCGTTCTTCACATAATTGAACTCTTTATCCGTGACATACTGGAAACTTCACCTTTAATAACTGCAGCCTTATTTTGCGTTCTATGGACTTCGCTATTGTCTACACTTGACATTCATACATTATAACATTAATTGAACACATTGTAAAATTGTATTTTATTTTGTATTTTCAGCTTTTTTACCATTTGTTAGATTGGTCTGAGAATAAATTGTCAGCACCTGATAGTCTTACTGCTTGAGCCCAATCGTGGTTATACTTAATGGTCAGGCCATTACAGTAAAAAGTCTACAACTTGCCTGTTGTGTCTCACAGATTACGCCACTCCATGTCAGTTCTACAGCTACAACCAACGCGTCATCCCTTGACGTACAGTAAATTGACAACAACTCTACACATATCCTGACTAGAAAATACAACGGAGCATCGTTCGTAGCTGTTACATTGACACTACGCAACATAGCTTGTGTTTTGGCAGCAAACCAACAACGTTGAGCCATCATGGATCCAAGTCACACGGAACAGCAAGACGAGGTAGAGGCAGAGGGAGATGTCCCTGAAGAATTAGTAGAAAATCCGTCTTATACCACACATTTAGATGAAAATCCCGAGACTAAGCGAGTACGTGATCACGGAAAAGGGTAAAGGAGTTTTCACAGAAAAACGTGACAAGTTCTGTCAGGATCTAGACGCCCTCTGGTCAGATGTAGAATCCCAGTTATTGGAAGTCACCACGCCCAGGATAACCTTGTAAAAGCCTGTACGAATTATCGTAGGCTCACAGATGAGTACCTGAACTTTCTAAAAAGGACAAGAACATTAGACAGTCTACAGGACATAGACGCATGTAATCTCACGTTGGATATTCGACTGTCCAAAGTGGACCTGGCAATAGAAACATTGCACGAACATCGTCTCGACCTGACAAAGGCTAAATCTACTAAAACAAAGACCTCAAAGAGTAAGAAAACCTCACATAGCGGCAGCTCTAACGTGTCTGACATGTCAAGCCTAGCACGGAGGAAGCGTGCCAAAGCAGAGGCTGATAAATCAAAAATAGCCTTTGTCGAACAACATGCATTTATCCTACAACAGGAGGAAATGTTAGAGGAACAAGCCCTGATCAGACAAACTGAAATGGAGCAAGAAGCTGCACGCAAAAAGGCTGAAATGGAGCAAGAGGCCGCACGTAAAAAGGCTATAATTGAACAGGAAGCCACACGTAAAAAGGCTGAAATGGAACATGAGCAAGAGGCCATACGCAGGAAGGCTCAAATGCAACAGGAGGCCGCACGTGTAAGCCGGGAAAAGGCCAAGCTGAAAGCCAAGTTAAACCTTCTCGAAGCACGAAGAGACGCTGCAGCCGCAGAAGCCGAGGCTCGTATCCTAGAATACGATGACAGTCAAGCGTTGGACGATCTTCTTAATGAGACAGAAGACCCGCTCAAACGGGTGCAAGATTTCAACAAACATCCTGTACCAACCGCCGAACAGAAAGTGACAGGCCCTCTAAGGAAAAACAAACTCCTGTAAAGCTAAGTAATGAAGCACCTGAGTTCGTACCATCCGTGGCATTGAACTTGCCGTCACAGACACCTGCTGTCTTACCGGCACATGCTAAGTCAGCAGAAGTTAATGTATTCCCAGATCTGGGAACAGTTACTGGCATAGCAAAACAGGGCGTTTCAGCAAAGATCCCTGTCTCACAACAAATACAAGGCGTTATAGAAGAGATCCCCGTCTCGCACTAAAAACAAGGCGTTATAGAAGAAACCCCTTCTGCACACCTGCAACAAATCAATCCTACGTTAGAGATAACCAGATTTCTCCTACGCAAGGACCTGCTGTTCTCCCGGCTAACAAGTTTTAACGACCAGGCAGAATCCTTTCATACATGCAAAGCCAGTTTTAAAAACGTCATAAATGAATTACAAGTTTCAGACTCGGAACAGATAGACCTACTTATTAAATGGCTTGGACCAGAGTCTGCCAAACATGCCATGAGTATAAGGGCATCAAATGCCAACAACCCAACAAGGGACCTACACAGACTATGGGAGAGACTGGACGACCGATATGGTGCTCCAATAATGTTGGAGGCGTCTCTCGTCAACAAACTTGCCAAGTTTCCAACACTAACAAATAAAGACAACTCACTCCTGTACGATTTGTCAGATATTATCTAAGAAATAGAGTATCACAAAGAAAATCCCAAGCTGGGATGTTTGCTAGCTTATTTCGACTCTTCGTCAGGGATAAATCCTATTGTGGAAAAACTACCATACGGACTCCCAAGAAAAGTGGATAACAAGGGCTTCGAGATACAAGTCTAGACACGAAGTTGCCTTTCCGTCTTTCACAGAATTCTCTGCCTTTATCAGGGAAATAAGTAAAATTAAGAACGATCCTGGTTTCATCTTTGGGTCAAAAGTCACACCAAATACAAAAGGTGCTGCACCAAGGTTCACACCTCAGACGTACTCTAAAGTCAACGTCCATATGACGGCTGTTGAACAGCAACCTGAAGACAGCAGTCAACAACAAGATCTGTGTATCCTACACAAGACAAAGCATTCCTTGAACGAATGCCGAGCGTTCCGAGCCAAATCAATTGAAGAACGCAAGGAACTGTTAAGACAAAATAATGTTTGCTTCAAGTGCTGTGAGTCAACCACACACAGAAGTCGGGACTGCAACGCAAGTATCAGTTGTAATGAGTGTGGAAGTCAACGACACGCTACTGTACTATACATAACAAGGGTGCAACCACACACCATTTCTCAAGGTAATTCGCCTGGAATAATCTACGGCGGGGAGCAGACAGAGTCAGCTGAAACAAAGTTAACCTCTGTGAGTTCGACCTGCACAGAGATCTAAAGGGATCATAAGAGTGAGAAATCTAGTGCCAAGATATTACCCGTGGATGTGTACCACAAGGACAGGACAGACAAAATTAGCAGGATGTACGCCATTATTGACGACCAAAGCAACCGGTCTCTTGCCTCGCCTGAATTCTTCAGTCTGTTCGACGTACGGGAAAAACCGGAAAAATACTCTCTAACAACATGCTCCGGCAGAGTAGCTACTTCCGGGAAAAGAGGAAGAGATTTCATCATCAAATCTGTACATAGTGACGTACAATTTGATCTGCCTACACTAATTGAATGTAATAATATTCACAATAAACGGGACGAGATCCCGACTCCTGAAGTTACAATGCATCATCCTCATTTAAAAGAACTCAGAGGAAGCATTCCACCAATAGAGGAAAAGTACAAAATACAACTGCTAATTGGAAAAGACCTTATAGAAGCATACCATGTCCTTGAACAACGCCTAGGATCATCAAGAACTCCATTTGCCCAAAAGTTAAAACTTGGTTGGGTCATAATTGGAAATACATACATTGACAAGCAAACTGGTCCGCTTAAAGTCAACACGAAGATAACTAACGTTTCAATCACGGAACCAGAACAAGACCGGAAATAGCCTTCAAGGACAAGAATAAAATTGTTGTTCAGGATAACGACCAATACTTTAATTCAAAATTCCTTGAGTGTACTGGACCTAGTTCCAAGCCTGGTAAACTCACGAATTTCTCTAAAGGGACAGCACTCGTGTCACTAAAAGAAAAATCTGTGACTTCTATAGAAAATTCTATGGATAAAGAAATGTCATTCCGAAATCAACAAGACCTGAAGTTCATGGAGAGGAAATCAGTCGCATTCACAAACCTATTCCGAAAGAAGGACCGATTGCCAATCTCAATCTGCCTTTGAACAATCAACTTCTACTCCGAGTAGGAAGCAGTATCGTCAAGTCTGACTTGAATATTAGTGAAAAGGAACCGGTGGTCTTATCTGGACATCATCACAAAGTAACACCTTTTGTTGGTCATTACAACGACAAAATCAAACATCGAAGACGCCACTTAACATATAGAGCGACTAGATCCGCAGGATGGAACGTTAGGACGAGACGATTAATTTCGTCTGAGACTCACAAAAATGTGACATTTCGCCAAATCGGACGAGGACCAAGTACAGGAAACGTTATAGTGAAAAGTCGTAAGTTGAGACCTGATATTTCTCACACGACCAATAGTGGACATTTCACCTGTACATATTCAATTTATGTTGGGATTTATTTATTTATCTTATATTCATATGCGATTAATTTATGGAATAGTGATATCAGAAAGATATCAGACGGGGAGTATTCTGTTACGCCTTTCTTCAATTTATATAGTTCGGTTTGATTATATTCTTAATCTGTTTATGTGTTCCAGTTTAGGATTATTCATCTTTAACCTTATAAGAGCTTGTAAGAACTTTAAACATCGTATCATCGTTACCTCTCCCTTTCTAACACGTATCTCGAACTGAATATTGCAAGGTCATTCCAGAACCGGAGAAGTACAAACGTCATCAAGGACACAATTCGTGGATAACCACAGAATGAGTTACATTTATAACTTTGTATTTGATGCCTTCAAATCGTTCTTCACATAATTGAACTCTTTATCCGTGACATACTGGAAACTTCACCTTTAATAACTGCAGCCTTATTTCGCGTTCTATGAACTTTGCTATAGTCTACACTTGACATCCATACATTATAACATTAATTGAACACATTGTAAAATTGTATTTTATTTTGTATTTTCAGCTTTTTACCATTTGTTAGATTGGTTTGAGAATAAATTGTCAGCACCTGATAGTCTTATTGCTTGAGCCCAATCGTGGTTATACTTAATGGTCAGGCCATTACAATGACTTTTAAATAATCAGCTTCGTGTGTTCCTGATGAAGGTTAGTTTGGAAAAATCCTTTAAATGCATGGAATTTATGAAGTTCTGTTATCATTTTCACCATTAATTTATATTTTCTTTGATGTTTTGTTCGTTACTATGCACGTAGTCAGCACCCAGTGTGTGGTGTTGAACACGGTGTCGGAGGATCATATATAGCATAAATACATTTCCACGTCATTAAAAAATGTGAGAACATTGTTTTTATAAAATAGATTTCGTCAGACAGTGAACATTTTTTTAGGAATAATGAATTTAAAATAAGGAAATAGTTTTTGTTAAACAATAATGTTCTTAACAGAAGCTTAACATGTGACAACAGTCTAGTTGCTACTGTATGCACCAAGTCTTATGCTCCATGTCATGAAATCTGGTACATACTTCAAACTGAAATTACCTATCAATCAAAATAGAGAATTTTTTTAATTAATCTTGAATATCATACAATTTAAGTTAGTTAAACACAACATTTCGTGACAAAATAAATATTGAATCTGTGTGCTTAACGACAAGTGTTATATTTTTCATGTACATTCAGGACGAGAACAAATCAACAAATATATAATATAGATAGGTCCTGTAATAGAGGCCGTCGGGATAACGTTCCTGGAAATATGAGAGTATATTGGATAGGAAAAGAAATTTATCCTTACAACAGGCCACCTACGGACCCTTGAAATAGTTGTTGCAAGGATTATTAATGTGCAATTATAAAGAGTAAGACAGTTTTTGTGCACGAGTATAACATGTCTGACCGGAAGTGGCTCCGTACTTGTTCACTTGCACAGCCAAATGGACCACCACTTTGAAGGTTGCTGCTGGTCGGAGAAAGACCAATGGGAACCGTATTTCTATTTCCCAGTCACCCTTTGGGGTATTTAATTTTTGAATTTGAGATTTGCGCATTTGCATGTTTCAAAGACAAGTGCGGCATTCATTTTGCTGAACTAGTATACAATATCGTTTAGGGGCTAGCTGTTGTCCACCTCCGGGTTTGGGATTTTACTGATGCGTTAAAGACCCAGAGGTGGCTTTCAGTTGTTTTCTATCTTTGGTCGGGTTTTGTCTCTTTGACGCAATTAAAAATTCCTTTCTCTATTCTACTTTGTCATCATTCAACCTCTAGTTAAACCGTTGGCTAGGTAGGGTATACATAAGACTGTGCCAGGCTATTTTATTCATTGGCCTAAATGACTGAAATGTAGACATTTACTTAGAAAATATTATAGGAAAATATAAAATGTATTTTACCGGGCTTTAGAAACAGATCTGTTTTCCTGTTTGTAATAACAACAAATACATATAATATTTTGCTTCAAGTTATAGATATTTGATATATTTCGTTGTAACGTAACTTGTTATAATTTTAGTAACTTCCTGGTGCGGGACTTTCATTTAAGACCTAATGGTGGCCTTAAACTGTTAATGCTACTCTTGAGTCGAGTTATTGTCTCCCACCACATTCCTCGTTCCCTTTCTCTATTCTGTTTTTCACCGCTAGTTAAACCATTCCTAAAGTTGGTAGTACGTTTATCATATAGCTCTTCATCTGTTTCGGTGCTTATACATCCTTCGGATTTCAAATGTTTGGCTTTGAGCGTTCCTGATGAAGGTAAATCCAGAAAAGCGCTTCGGACGCATGAAATTTTTAAACGTGTTGTTTTCAATTTTTTAGCTGTGCGGGATGTATAAATACGCAGCCACGTCCGGTTTGAATGGGAGCGTTGAATTCGGTAATTTCTGTAGAGTGTGCAACGCTCACTGCACGTGAAGAACCCTTATAATAATGTATTGCGATAGTTTATGGTAGCATGGTGCCACGCTTAATCTTTGAACCTATTAAATTAACCCTCTGTCAAGTTGCAGCAATTTCATCTCATTCTAGTCCTATTGTTTTGTGTGCAAATATTTCATGCTTTTACATGACAATTAATATAAACATAATATGTAGGTATTGTAATCAAAATTGATAGATAAGAATATATGATGTTGTTCCTTCTAACATTATTTTAAAGAGACACATTACGTTGAGGAAGATTTCTTGCACTGGAAAAGCAGATCCCTATATGAAAGTGTTGTTTTACAAAAAAAAAATAAGAATACAGAAGGCAATTTTTTATATGATCTGTTTTTTTTTCCATATATTGTAGCATTATTTGAATTTCTACTTTCTCCTTCTTAAGTATTGCACATATGAAATGTGTTTATTGATTTAAGGAAACGTAAACTATTGGTTATTCAATTGTATTAATATGTTTATGAAGGATATTAGCCTGTTTTATGCACGTAAAATATATAATAGAAGCTTACTGGCAAACCTTTTACCTAGTTGTTGTGATGTTGTTCTTAAACTGTATGTTTAAGTCAATTGGAATGACCTCCATACATTTTGTGAGCATCTTCGTTTTCTTCCCCTTTAATTTCGAATCCATTTTCTAACTCATTCGGTATTCAAGAGCTTGCAGCTGATGCTCAAACATCACCAATTTCCGAGCAGAAAGTTGATGAACAAGGTTTATGTCTAAGGCGGTTTCGCTTCTTTATTGAAAGTTCATCGGAAGATACCAAGACTATGTTGATCAATAGGATCGACTGGAGTATAAATAACAAATAGTGCTGAAGTATTCGTATCAACTTCACAAATAATACATAATGGTCTTGAAGTTTAGATTCTAGGTACTGACGTTGTTTATCATCTTAATTACGTGTTGTAGTGTTCTTTTATTTGCACTCGACTCCAAGATTGTCAGTTTTCCTATCGAAGGTCGGTGGTTTTCTCTGGGCACTCCAGCTTCCTCCACCAATAAAAACTGGCCGCCACAAAATAGCCCAAAAGTGGCATTAAAACATCAACAATTAATCAATACAAGTTAGAGGTTTAACTAGCTAAATTCAACATTTTCTAGATAAGGAAAATCCTGCACCAAATCAGGAATATGACAGTTCTCAATTCATTTGATGTGTACCTTGCAGAAGTGGGATGTCCGTCTGGCTGCACGTGCTGTAAGAATAGGGACATTAATGTCAATGCCTTGTGTAAAGAGAATGTCACGATCATTGCTTGTTCAGTACCATTGCAATAACTATTTTAGGCGTCTGTGAGTATTCGTTTGCAAGGCCAAATATCTGGTCTATCAAATATACTATCATGTTTCAGCGGCCTAGTACAGGCACTAAAATTAGAAATATAAATTGAACGCTAAACGAGGCTTCAAGTACAAGAGAGATTATGTCAATTATGTAAATGAGATGAAGAGAATGAAATACATTTTTATTTACAGTGCCCAATTTTAGAAAACAAAAGAAAAGAAATAATTTAAGAACTTGAAAAAAAATATGTCAACGTAAAAAAAACTTCATTTGAAGTCAAATTAACAAAGACGACTGGGTTGTGCATACGTATCTAAAAATTGGGTCACTGACACTTGACATGGTATATATGATTTTAAGTCTTTTATATAACATAATAAATGTTTTTGTTTTTTGTTTTATTTTTGCATCACTGTAATCAATAAAATCAATGTTAATCAATGTATATATCATAATTTGTATTAATTATTCTGCCCTTTATGGGCGTCGTGATTGACAAATAAAACTTATTCTTCTTCTTCTTACAGTCCCTACCTTATGTCTTAATTGCTAATTTGTTTTCGACCTGAATTTCATGAAATATTTGCCGTCCAGTTCTCGTTAAATTTATAACATGGTTTGGAATTCAGTAGTAAATCTAGTTCGATCTTATTTAAAAAAAAAAACTGCTTTTGTCTTATTTATACGATTTCAACACTCTACTTGAGATGTAAAATAAGTAGTAAAGGTTGGTAACTTTTTAATTGTGATTTTTTGTATGTATCAAGGCTTATAAGTGCAAAGTACACATGTAAAAATCCAACATTCAGTATTTTACTTTCCTCATCTCCCCTCACCTTAACTGTTTTTTGGCGATAAACATTGAAGAAATGTCGCATTATGTCATGTCTGATTCATCTGCAACTTATTAAGTTTTCCAGAGGTTCACACTTAAATGTCATTAAATTGGATCCCAAAACAGTCACTTAAAAGGAGTACATATTTGAAAAGTAATAATTTCCATTGAGCCAAAAAAAAATAATCTAAATCCTAAAGCCAATGAATTCCGGATAAAATGTCAATGAATCCGGAGTCAAAACACTTGAGGTAGGTAGTTTGATGTCCGAATTCAACTATTAGATTTTAAAATATATATGAGGACGCAAATGCGTATTCTTATCCAGAGTATCAGTGCGTATGCTTTCTATTTGCTATTTTTTTACGCACAAATACCACGTTCATGCATACATATTAATTTCACTCGCAAATGCGAATTTTCGCTTTTCTTATCTAAATTCAGGACACGGCAGTAAGAGTTTGACATGTGACTTTCAAGCACGGTCATCATTGCTTACGGTATTCTGACCTCTATCTGTTTCTCTTTTGTTTTCTTTTTTGAGTCACTGTCCTTTTATAAACCTTGACATTTTCAAAATGCCAAGGATTTTCTACCCAAGGAATAGATTACTTAACTTCGTACTTTATTTGGCCTTTTTAACTATTTTTATTCCAGCGTCACAAATGATTCTTTGTAGACTTAACTTGCGTCTGGCGTACAACATGTTAATCATGTTATCTTTCTATATCTACATGTCTTTTTATATAAATTGGTTCTTTTGAGAGTATGTTCAGGTATTCATAAAACTTCTGAAAATAAGATATTCTTCAATACCAAGTTTCCCTGTAGAGTATTTGGATTGATTTAAGTAAAATCAGGAAATCCTTAAAATTTGAGATGGTTTATGAGACCAAAATAAGTCTCTATATAAGAGATCCAAATGAAGCTGGTGTGTTACTCTCAAGAAAAATATACGAAACCTTCTTATAAGTTGCATGCCACAGGGTTTCACTTCA